ATCTGGGAGGTACCCAAAAAGTCGACTTTTTGGGTACCTGCTTTGGTGATGATGGGTTGGGTCATCGCGAGAAACCGATCGATTCAGCAGATGTCCGGGCGCTGAGGTGACTTTTTGGGTACGTGCTTTGGTGATGATGGGTTGGGTCATCGGGAGAAACCGATCGATTCAACACAAGTCCGGGCGCCGAGTCGACTGTTGGGAACCAACACGCCACATGCCGCGGACACGGGCGCCTGACAAGCATGCGAAAATCTTCCCAGGGCACGTTACCACGGGCACTGGCTGGACCTCAAATTCTACACAAAGCCTAGCCCCTTCCTGGGAAAATTCCTGAGCATTGGCCGGGATTAAAAGTAAGTTTGTCAATTTTTAGAGCAGATCAGGGATCCTACATGCAGCGGACATGAAAAAAGGAACCCCTACCTGGGGGTGGTCTCTGCCTGGAAGCAAGGCTAGCGCTAAGGTTCTATCCCTTGGGGGTCGGCGGCTGCAGGCGGTAGCCTGGTAAATAACTGCATCTAAGTGGCAGCAACGCCATACCTTGGTTCGCTGAAACTTGGCTTAGATCACTTAGAGGGTTGGGAGGAAGCTCCTACTTCGGAAACGGTGGCAAGGATGTTTGGAGCCACTGAGATACTGTAAAATGGCAGGCGTATGGACCATGGAGTTCTTCCGACGTCGTAACGAATATCCAAATATATTATGCTCTTTCATTTCAATCAACGGCAAGAGCCATCCACAAGTTTGCGCACAAGGTGTACAAAGGTCAATCCTGTAAAGACAATTTTTGCAACTACCTCTGAACTCTGCACCACGGGTGGATTGCAGTGGTCAAGGGCTTGAACCAATTGAAGATTCCCATCATATACTTTGGCACTGTCGCCAATGCTGGCAATTCCAATTAGTCCAACCAACACAAACCCTTTCTTTCCTGTTTGGCCCTTCTTACTCGACAAAGCGCACCATGAGGTGGGCAATCTCGGTAAGGTGTATAGGTTCCAAATTGAGATTGCCCGCTTTTGTCCACAGGAGAATGATTCACCAGTGTCTTTTTCAGGATGGTATACGATTGCTATATCATCAAAGTCCATTGGTGTTGCTAGGTTTTGTGCATTTCCCTCCAGTCCATCTCTCCAATCAACCCATACTTCCATATCCATCTGCCCCGTGACCTTTGGGCGTTCTGTTCAGTCAAGCTAGGCGGTCGGCCCTCCACGTCAAGCGCGCCAATGGAGCCAGCGAAGCGGAAGGCATCGCGGAAGACCTGCACGCGTTACTGTTATTCTTATTCATGTGGATAAGTTCTGACCATACCTCTTGTAAAAGCAAACCGTCTCCTCTACATGGGTCTGGCGAGCATCCTCAACAAATCATTGAAGTACAATAGGAGTCGGAGTGATGTGGCTGAGCAGTCTAAATAGAATATGAATGCAAATGATGCCAATGTTACCCTGTAGCACTTTCAGCATCACAAAATACTTCACACATATCTAATTGAGTCATCAGTCACAAAACTCTGACACCACCGCGCCTCCAACACATCCAAGTCCTCTGGATGCCTAGCAGCACACACTCTTTGCTGGACTTGAATCACAGTTGCTTGTGCTGTATTTGTTTGTGTTGCGCATGTTTGTCATTTCGAAATGATGTGTTTCTTGAAGAGCCACACACGAAGGAAACTACAACTGGGAGATCACTGTTCTTTCTTGCTGCCGCAGCTCACGCCCGCCTCATGGCATGGTTAATGCGCGAGTAGTATGCTTGTGCCTTGACGTTCCTGGCGTCAGACTGTCTGGATGAAAATGTAATCTGATCCGATCAAAGAGAATTACTCTGAACTTCACAAAAAGCAGGAATAGGCCACAGGATTCTCTCCGCATCTTTGTGAGCTGATTTCGCAAATTTCGCCATATGGCTTTCTCAGCTCCTTGAGACTTGAATCTGTTGCGTGTCCTCTCGGGCTTCTATTTGCACCCTTCGGTCTCTCCTGGGAATTTCCAAGTCCGCAAAGCGCGGTGATGGCGCGGACAATGGTGGCGACTGCTTGAGGCCAAGTCCATCCAGCTGGGCCTCAGGCATCGAAAGTGCAGGAAACGGAGATCCGTGGGGAATTTACAGGAAACAAATACAGTAACCAATTCAGAACCAATTGAAAATCCTATTGTGAAGTCGATACTTCATGCTTTGTGACATTTAAAAAATGTCTACATATAGAAGCTGAAGAAGGGAAACCCACAATGTGTGCAATGTGTGCGTGTGTATGTGTGTGCTGCAAGGGAGTCTTCTCAACCGTGCGGGGTTGAGAATGTCCTCTGAAGAGAGGAAATAACTTCTGGGATCACTGGAATCATCCTAAGAACCATTGGGCTCCTGACCTGGGGAGACCCGCTGTTGCGGGAAACCTCCAGTGCAGCTGGGCTGCCATCCAGGACTCTTCAAAGTCATGCAAGAGAAGGATGCCCAAACCTCCACAAACAAGCGACACCGACGCTCCCATTGTGGCGGGGAACCATCCGTTTATGTAATTGACAAAGATGGCAAGCTACTTCTTGATCACAAGGACAATTTACTTGTTTGTCTGCCAATTCTTTTATCTCTGATGACTCTCTGTGCCCTGCGATCTCCCTTCAACTGCCAGCAACCACCCCGATTCAGAAACCGCGGGGAGTCATCAAGTGTTCTCTTGGAGCGCCTATTCTTCGGAAGTCCACGGCTACACTACACTGAATCAAATGCCAAGCTTGTAGCCCAGCTTATAGTTGTTCGCTTCCAGCTCTTCATCATCCTACTAGTCCTTCATCCATATATGATCGTGAATGTACCTCCTTGGATGGACAAATCCAGTTACATAAATTAAGATCTGACAGTTGCAAAACTAGCTGAAGTGCCATGCATGAGTGTAAGGCCAGGATCCTCCCGCAAAAAACAATCATTAGGTGAGAATGATATACCAGCGTTGCTTGGTAGGGTTTTGCAGGTTCGCCAGGGGCTAGATTTGCAGTCTGCTTACATATCTCGGACCATCTTTCAGAGCGTCTTGTCGACAATTGACAAGGCCACAACCAAAAGGATTACATTATGTGTATATATATCTATATCTGAAAGCTATATTTATGGTGATGTCATGAGATTTCCACTCTTGAAGTCCGATCCCGACTGCACGTGACTCCGTGACTCCCCACCTTCTCTCTCCCGGCGTCCCGTGCGCCCCACGCGGTGCACATACTCCGCACGGCTCTCGGGTGCACCCAGCTGGATCACCGCTGTGACGCCCGGGTAATCCAGGCCACTGCGCGGAGCTTGGACTGTTCGGCTGTGGTGGCTAGGGCTAGGAGCCCAGAAAGTAGAGTACCATGATGTACGTATATAATGCTAATTGAAAGGACATGTTTGATCTACTGCCAAGTTGGGTGAACTACAAGTTCGATGTGCTTGAGGACTCTGGGGAATCTCTCTTGGCTCTGGACATGAGGCCTCAACAGAAGACGTGACATGTCTTAAGCTGCTACAAAATTAGACATATTTATTCAGTATACAGTAGACAGTACTGTCTATTAGACTAGACTATATCACTAGATCAAACAAATATTCGGTGCTTGCAAGAGGAAACGAGTAAAGACGTCATCCTCACATGGGGAATTCTGTTCTTTTTGAGTTGTTTGTGATGGACGTAACACAAAGCTTCCACAACTGCTTGCGCCAACCTTGCGCCACACTACTTGTTGGGTGGGGACTTCCACTAAGCTTCCGTGACATTAGTTATTGAGTGTTTCTTTAAGGTTTGCTTCTGTGCGCGGCATGACAACGATATAGTAGGACAGCTAGATTTCTTGGAGTTGTCGCTTCTAAATTCTCTCATGGTGGCTTCATGGCTGTGTACAGTATCTGGCTAGGAATGGACAATTGAGAAGTGAGGGCTTCCGCAAGGCTTGCATGAGCCTTTTTACGCGTCTTCCGCGAAAATCGGCAGGTGCTTTTGCAAGTTTTACAGCTATAATATGCTATAATCATATTATGCCCTGCGCACCCTTGCGCGCAAAATGGTCTTCCGCACAGCATCGGCAGCTTCCGTGACTGCAAAGGGGTTCCAAGAAAAGAGTGTTACGGCATGTTATGTCCAAACGTAGACTACGAGAGATTGACAGTGAAAAAATGAAACTTTATTTAGTGGACTTTTCGATGCCTGACATGCTAGAATCCACACCTCCAGTACATTCTACTACCATCTTTTTGGCCAACCACACCAATCAGTCAGGCAACGCAATCTCATCATGAGCCATCCAGCCTATATAATTACCTCGAAAACAAATGAAAACAACCATCCCACGCAAAACACCCCTTCCAGTCGCAGCTGGCTTCAGCTGCGCACCGGGACGTAATGTCGGAGGTGAAGAGCAAGCCGCTGGCCGCAGCACGGAAGCCATCAGACTGCGTGGTCCGCTCCTGCTGCTTCCTGAAGGCTGCTGGAGAGGGAGGGCCCATGCCCCCGACCCAACTTCAAAAGTTAAGTTTCCCTAAAAATCTAGGAACCAGACGAATAGTGCGAGCGCACTTCAAGGAAGCTCCCCCCACCGCCTTTAGGGCGGCGGGGGGAGCTTCCTTGAAGAAGCGTGAGCTATCCTGCGTCCATACTAGTAGCTTGAGTAAGGTAATGTTCAATACGCATCAGTAACCCCCCTCCCCCTATGAAATATATACATATAGTTGTTTGCTATTTTTTGGAGGTCAAACATATCAAATTCAAAAAAAACTCCGGGCAATTTGATTTCATTTGCTTTCATGTTGCTTTCATTTACTTTCATTCTGCTTTCATTTTGCTTTCGTTCTAATTAATTAGTTTCTTTCTGAAGACAAAAACTAACAAGCCAGCAGGGCTGCAGGGGGGGTTGATTATTGTAGGTTGGTTTATAATTGCAGGGGCAGGAGTCTAAAGGGGTGCCTTTTGAAGATATTTTTTGTATTTGTTTGATAGGGTTTGCATAAGGAAACCTCAAGCTTTTGGCTAGCCAAAGTTTTTGGAAATTTGATGGGCAAAGATAGAAAAGAAAGAGTCCACAAAAGAACACAAAGAAAAGGAACAGGAGCAGGACAAAGATAGGAGAAACTAAAAGTAAAAGGGAAGGCACAAGAAGGCTAACAAGCCAGCAGGGCTGCAGGGAGGAAGCATTCTGCAGGCAAATTGGGATCTGAGAGAAACACGCTGATTATTATTATCTCATGTTTATAATTGACTCGCCATAATTGTTATCCATTTTGGGGTCTGGATGTTGGCGCAATTGACGTACTATTGCAATATCCTGGCAGGCCAAAAAACAGATTGTTATTGACGCATGGTTTATTGCTGTGTATTCAACATTGCTAGCTACCTTTCCCTTAATTAACTAAGTAAGCGCCTACTTAATTAAGTAGGGAGGGGAGGAGCGGGCTTAAAAAACAAAAATACAGTATACAGTATATATAAAATTTTACTATTAGGAGAGAGGAGCGGGCACAAAAACAACTTCTGCCCACCACTCTACCCACCAAGCCAACTCACGATCGATCCGTCCGCCCCTCAAAGGCCGAAAACAAGCAGTAACAACATGGCAACCATCTGTCAGTTAGGCCAAGAGTCATTCGAGAGTGAATCTCGAAGACCTCCAAATCGCCACATTGCCGAAACGCTTCAGCATAGTAGGCCGCGATGCGTCCAGTGATGAAAATCACCTCACCGAAAGCTATAACTGGTGCGATCAATCAAGGGCGATCAACTCCATTTGCCGTAGCTTTGGACTATATAATTAGAACTTAGAACTCATTTGGCAAGCGAGCAGGGTCAGAAACCGAATCCGTTTCCCTTGTAATGCTTGCTTGCTTGCTTGCTTGGTTGCTTGCTTGACTGCTTGATATGCACGATATACAAAAGAATACCTGTTTGACAGCCAGTGCCCAGTAGTAAACAAGGGGTGTATAAGGCCCTTTCACAAGCAAATCCTGAGTTGTGAAATGACCAAAAGCCAAGCTCCTTCAATTGTTGGTTTAAACGGTGAAACAAAGAAAACAGCGGTTTCAACCTATCTTTGTGGGAGGGCTTTCACAAAAATGGTGAGCACTCCGAATCTTGAATAGTTACTTATACTACATGCCATCCCATATCATTCGCAACTCTTCTCCATGAATCCGGACTTCTGGCTTCAGGCGAAGGGTAGAAGGACCAAAGTACCTAGTGACCAAAATCAGGATTGCTTACCACACGCAGCAAGTAGTTTTCAAACTAGGAGCAAGAATGCTACTAGGGGCTCCTGGCCTTACTACTAGGAGCAAGGACGCTACTAGGGGTTCCTGGCATCGCTACTAGGAGCAAGGACGCTACCGCCTCTTTGGGCGTCCAAGTGGCCACGATCTTTGGCGGTGACAAGAATCCTCGGGCGCTTTCGACGGACTGCCACAAAGCCTCTCCCATGTCTTGTGTGGGCACCACCTGGTAGGTTTGAACCTGAGAATGAGGGCACACGTGCAAGTCATGCTGGGGTGAGACCTCAACTGGAACACGAAGCTCGAGTTTCAAAGTATAAAGCACCCCACCTAATAGCAATGGCCTCCAACCTACTAGCGATGGCCTCCACCACCTGAAAGCATCTAATTCTGTTGGCAGCATGGTGCTTGGAAGTCTTGTTCTCAGAAGCCTCGAGGCTTCTGCGTACTAGCCGCTGCAAAACAAACCCAACCGCTTCCTGATGCCAAAGTACACTGCCCGTTTATGAAGAAATCAGCTGCACAACTGTAGAATAAAGAAACTAAGTTGATTTTCTTCAAGAAAGAAAAGGAAACAAGCAGTTTGATCTCAGCAAACGATCCGTGAGATAAATATATTGAGCTAGCTGCTGAAAGGCTTCTGACAGTTACGTTGATTGTCTGTCGGCAGAGTAGGCGAAACAATTCCATCAGTCCCAAGACTGAATACCTCGCAAACCCTCATGGACGGTAGTGATACAGGCCATTGAAAATGCTGCGCAGAAACGATACTCTCAGGAATCGACATCTCATCCTCGAGGGCATCCACAAAGGTATAACTCTTGGACACCTGGGGGGGCTGCATGAGGTGCTGTTCCTTCTGCTCCGTTTAAGAAACTATATATGCAAACCTCCAAGACCACACGGACCAAGCATAACGAAGCTGGATTTGTTGCAGAACATAACAATGCTTTCTGTGAGGCTCTACAACGTGCTTGTATACAGGCAAGGCATAACAACATCATGCATCTATAATTACAGTAAATTTTATAGCAATATAGAGTCACCGAACCCTCTTTAGTTCCAGCGTGGGTCTCTTTGTCCTCGAAAGTAACAGCATTGGGGCTGTGAAGGTCATCATCTTACAACCAGGAGTCACAAAAGGGTCAGGTCAAATGGCTTCCAGGCCGCTGCTTCCCTGTTGTGGTAGATCTGTGAAACAAATGCAATGCTTTTCAAGGATCAAATTAGCCAAAGGGACTAACTTGGTTGGATTCCTCCTTAATTAAACGTTCAACGACTGCCCATCCAAATTGTCGACTGTCCTCACTGATCACACCCTGAAAAGGCCTGGAAATGGCTGATTGTGGACAAACCTTTGTTCAGTGAATGCAGGTGCTGCCAATGTAACTGACAATTCAGAACACATTGTGGAGCCACATTAGTGTGACTGTCTCTATAGGCTATAGATGTTTGATTCTTGGAACATCCTTTGCTTTTCCAGCAGTCCTAGATCCCACCCTCCTGGATGAACGCTCCCATGCTCCTTCACCTCGGCGCTCCATCACCTTCGCGCCTGGGCGATGAGACGTGTGACCTGCTCCGTGACCGTGGCGGAGTAGAAGAGATGTTGCGAGGCCGAGCAGAGCTGTTGAAGGATCTCCTCGGTGACCTGGCAACTCATCACCCTGGAGGATGCATATCTTGCGGATCCATCTCGAGTCATTGAATTCCCAAATGCCCCTACTGTAATTGGAGTCTACATAGATCCTACAAAAGAGTGAAGTAAAATGTGATTTGAATAAGAAGGTCTCCTGCAACAAAGCCAAAACAACTACTATCTCGCTTCCATCATGGTGATGGATAAACAAGCTGTATAGTGATTGAGGAAACAAATGCCATCACACAAAGTGGACACACTGCAACTAGCTAGGCCTTGGGGCCATTCGCTCTCACAAATTCGAGCTCCTGCAGAGGAGTAGTTTCTAGCATCTTCAATCCTCTATACAGATATCTCTAAAACCATGGACCTGCTTGCTTCAAAAAGATTCGCTTACACTCCCTGCCAGCATAGAGCTTGACTCTTGTGTGATCCTGTTTGTTCACCTTTTCTTAAGACTGGAGCCTTCCACCCAGAATCCTTCCGCTCGTGCTCTCCCTTCACCTCTTGTTCCTTCAGCTCCATGTTCGGGTCCCATCCCCACACCTCGGCAAAGAGCTCCCCAGCCAACTGGTCTACCTCATCCAAGACCAAGGTCTTCCTCAGTCAAATTGGAGCCAGCGGTGGCACAGTGGAGAGGGGATATTTGTGGTTTAGATGTCCGTGCCTTGGAAGGGTTACTCATTTGGATTGGACAGCGGTAGAGTTCTCTGGTGTTTGAGCCAGAGGGCCGGATTGGGGGAAGAGTTCAGTGGTCGTTTTCATCCACTCAGTTCTTCCAAGAGTTTGTTTTCAGGTGTAGAATTGTAGAATTGTTTTCAGGTGTCACTGGACTGAATGTGTTTGGTTCCTTTGGTGGAAGCTGATACTGCGTAGCACCTTTTGTGGGTGACGCAGGTGAATCAGACATTTGCGAAGACCGGAATATTATCTGACCCCGGATCACAACAAACAGACCCTCAGTAGCAGTGTCCCCTAACACGCTAATTGATGGGCTGGTTTGCGGGTATGCTTTGGCATGTTTTGGCTAGGGTCTTGGAAAATTCTGGGATCATGAGTATGCAGAAACATATGGTCCTCAGAGTTGTTGTGCAGGTCCCCTTCCACAAGTGCAAGACCAATCTTCCTTGTTTCAGTTGGTGGCTGGGTGCTGCTTTCTATGTTGGCATCGCATAAAAGAATCTATATAATTGGGCTTGGCTGGCCGCCGACAAAGTCGCCAGGGCACACTTGCCCCAAGCGCTTAGCAAACGAAGGCGTCTTTGAGAGATGTGTTTGCAATCGTCCTGCGACGCCAGGTAGGTCTTGAGAATCTTCAGCTTGTTGGTCATATTCAGTTGGCTACTGTCCGTGGGGCTTTGAAACACCAGCATCCATCCAACAGCACCACTTTTGATTTGACACGTCTTCAGCGACATCTGGCTACGGCAACAAGCCTAAGGAGTTTAAGTTGGGCCAGCTCGCTGATTTATTCTTAGATTAGATTGTACTCTTGGAGTGGCATCAAGGATCAATACTACCTTGCAAGCTCGGGTACGATGATGGATGGTGATGTAGAATTTGTTTCCCTGCCCCCGTAGGTTTATTGAATTTCTCAACTTCCATCCTCTATTAATCGACACTGAAAAAGGGCTGTCAATATGAGTCGAGTCAATCTGATGATTTCAACCTTCAATGAAACACCTATGCGATGCCATGCCTGACTGGAAGTCCTGCTTTATTTACGTACATATGTATATAAGTCCCCCTGAACCAACGCTTCCCTCAACTCCCGGGATATTCCGCCAAAGACAAGCAGAACAAACATCGACATAGAAATAAAGGCCTTCCAAAACCCTCGACCCCCTCCTTTCAACACAAATCCAAAAGAGTCCCATTCGAACCATCTAACCACAACTATCATAACTGAACATCTGTCCCGTTCTCCTGGTGTGGCAATCAAAATCACCGCATGGCCCTCAGCAGCCTCCAGGGCATCTAAGTCCTGGGCGATGTTCGGTGGACCGATCAACCGGGCTGTTTGGCTAAACCTCGCCAGCCTCGCCCGTGGCGTGTCGAGTCTCGAAGTTGGGACCAGCCCTTCAACTACGAGGATCGTCAACAAACCAGGAGCTGTATAGTTACTAGTAGCGATGCCACGAGCCCCTAGTAGCTTCTTGCTCCTAGTATTAAGGCCAGGGACCCTAGTAGCGTCTTTGCTCCTAGTAGCGCTGCCCTTGTTACTAG